ACATTGCTTTTGTTCCACTTCCATTGATGGGAACATAATTGCGGCTGCCAGTGAATTCATTATAATTGCAACCCAGAAAATGAACTAAAATATGGATTATTACTGTAATCTGGTAATTGATTAAACCATGAACCCCACAGCAGTTTTTTCCCTCCCTCTCTAAGCAGATTAGACGGTGTTGTGAAGGAAAGATAAAGAAAAATCCATGAAGACTAAATAGAGATGTATGAGATGACTCACCAACAGTGCAGTCATTCGTTTCCACAAGATGCGTTTCATCACTGTCCCTGCCTGTAAGTGCTGTGATCGCTGTAAAGTAATACCTATATCTCTGGTTTTCATTTTAACTGTGGGAAAAGCGTAGTTGTGGCATTTTTTTAAGAAACAAAGAGAAGCAACACTTATTTTTCAGTCAACTCTAACATTGCTCGGGTGCAGTTTATTTTAAAGTTTATGACATTGTATCTCAGCTCCACTTATTTCAGTTTAACTACTAAGTTGAGGTCTACAATGCAAGGTCTAAATGCACAAGAAATCATTCTCAAAGAAAACTACAATACTTTCATTCACACACACCATATAGCTATTGTAGTCCTGGTTATTCTGGTTTGGCGCTGTGAGTGTTCTGTGCAGGTACCAGAGAGTTTGAAACATAGCACTAGCACTAAATCATTGTTAAAGCTTTTGTGTTAAGTCGCCCGTTCTGGTTCATTTCAAATTCCATTTTTGCTTAAGGAACTGAGACTTTACTTCCTTCTTAATGTGTGCAATTTGATGCTGGAAAGAAATTCACTCTGGTACAGCTGCAAAAAGCATTAGAGGTACAGGGAACAAAAGTGTTGATGTAGAACAGTCACTTCCCTAGCTGTAGCTGTAATGGTGGGCTGGAAAAGCACTCACACAAATGCTGGTAGCTGTCCAAAAGTAACCCCCTTCTAGGACCTGACACTCACTTAAATCCCTTGAAGACCACGATATACTGAGGTCTGTTCGACGGCTGGAAATCACAGGGTGCACCAGACAGACCCCGAGTGGCTTCGGTTACATCGTATATAGCTGTGCAAGTCATTAAATAAGCAGAGCCCCTCTCGGTTCTGCACATGGTAAGTCCATTTCCTGAGCTAAAATGACCAAAACATTGACTGCTGTGAAAGCTCACATACTATCCATCTCTTTCCAAAAGTCGATAAGGCACATTTGATTTGGAAAACCGGAGTTTTCAAAAGAGGCAGCGCTATTGCAGGCATTGTTTAAAGAGATGTCTAAGAGGGAAAAATACGAGCGATTTTGTCTTGACAGATGTGCCGTTTAGACCTCTCTGAGGACAGGTCTTAAGACTTTGATGTCTGCAAAAAGGTCTCAACCCTTTGATGTCTTGAAAAAGATCTGTAAGCTTTCATGCCTTGGAAATAGACCCAAGACTGAAATGCCAGACACGTTTAGATACAACAAACTATATTTCCACTTTCAGTTACCTATCAACGCATTTGACTTTGGAATGTTAAGCAGTTTTGTTTCCTGTAATGGCACGGCTTTTCTGCCAAGAAGAAGGGGAAAAAATACTTGCGGCTATATAATATACAGCACTGTGCAAACATTTTATATTCTAATCCATCACGCAATACAATTCAAGTCTCACTATAAGATTCTTTCTGCAGCATGACGGCCCAAAAATACCACCAGATTCATAAACAATCATCGTTGTGAGGCAAGAAGCAGAAGGAAAAGCCTATTACAGATTGCATGAACTCCGTAACATCACGAAGTCAGTCTGGAATCACCCAAAAAAAGAAGCAAATTAAACAGCTCAAAATCCACAGAAGAACTGCAGGAAAACCTTCCTGCCAAGTACCATAAACCTTTACCTAGAACTGCTTTAAAGGCAAATGGTTGCCTTCAGTTTTTTTCTATCTGCAGCACTTCCTTTTAACTTAATTGACACATAAAACTAATTATAGTAGACTCATTTTGCTTTCGGTGCTTAAAACTTTTGCAGACTGTACCAAACAGAGAAGTTGAAGCAGACTGTGTCCTTTTCTTCTTTTCTTTTTTTGACATTGTCACCCTGCTACCTGCAGCCGGTCCCCTGAGATATGTACTATTCTGTCCTCTGCATTATACATAATGAATTGTCCGTTGTGTCTTCTTTTTGGGTGGCATCCTTCATTCATGACCTTAACCTGCCTCAGCAGCTTGTCCTCTAGTCATTTGGTCAACAGAAGGCCCAAATTCATCACCACCTTTCATTCTCATTCTCTGGCCTATCTGATCTATGATAGCATTTATAATAACCGCTGCAGAATGCCCCGTCGCCCTCTGTGCCTTGCCCACTCGTGGCCTGCACAGATTACCACCAGCCATTCACAGACCATTAAAACTGTATTTACTTATCAGCCTCTCTGGGGCTGTCACTCTGTTTTCAAGACTGATGCCCAAAGAGTGACCTTCAGTCCTGAACAGGTCACTAGCCTCATTTGTCCTTTATTTGCTGCCTAAACTCTCCTGAAGGCAATGTTTGTGCCTCACAATAACACAAATTCAAGAATTCAGTAACTGGAAATAGAACAAAGAAGACAAAACCTTATGCTTCCTATATTCATTTTTTTTTATTTATAGTAGTTTTACACTTGTACTCTTAGGTAATAGACATATTTGCTGAAGCGTTATTGATCCCACTCTCATATGTGCATGCTCTGCTGGCTTGCTGATTGCAAAGAATGGGAAAAAATGGATATACAGCAAGCATGGTCGTGTCTTCAGAAATCTACCTGCAATTAGCTTTAAAGCTTGCTGACTAATGTTTAATGTTGAACGTGTAAAAACTAAAAAAACTACAGGGGTTATGTGCCACACTGGTTCCTGGAAAGTAGTTTAAGTCTGGGTGACCGGCTGTCAAAAATGTCACAGCGTTTATTTTAATTATTTCTATGAATGCATGATTTGATTTTGGGGGCCAGAACTTTACTGTTTTGGCTCAGTGCATCTCATTTTGTTTTTTTTCCATTGAAAACCTTGAATTCACAGAAAAATAATCTATATATATTCCAGAGACTGAACAGAAGTCTGTCTGACCTCTCACTTCGTTTAAAGCCTCAGTAAATAGTTATCCAAGCACTTTACTGTCTCAACCATTAGTTTAAAGTTTTATTTAATATAACACAGTATTCTTTTTGTAAATTATAAGGCCAATTGTTCTTAAAAAAACACAACAAAACAAGAAAACAGGCTATGCTCTGTCCTACCAAGTCATCATATAGGAGTTCAGTGTGCTGGGTTTATCCTTTACAAATACATAGGAGCAGGTGCTGGTTTGTGCAATGTTTCCCGTTATTTTGAATACAGCAGCCAAAATGAGCATCGTCATTCCACCTAATCGCCTTTTATGCCGAGAAACCAGCAGCATATGTACTATGCCTTATAAGAAACTTTTAATTTAATAATCACAAATAGCTCTTTCAAACAATATGTGAAAATCTGACATTTCTGTGTTTTTCATCATTTCTTTCTTATTGTCATTCTCCTTCTCCACGACTGCTTCCTCATTTCCACCTTATCCTCTTCCTCCTGAACTGAAGTCAAGGCCTTAACACATGAAAACTTGCATAAACATGTGTATTTATATCTGATACTGTTGCAACTGTCAGAAAATTAGACATCCAACCCTCCCGTCTCTGCAGCTGACAATGAGCCAGCTAAACAACGACAACAGCTGGTTATAAGCTAACACTATGCCAGCTAATATTAGGCTCAAGTGTCCTAAAAATCACACTTTCCCTCCGATAAACAGTTTGATTACATTCTGAGAGTATACACTCACTACAGATGCATGAGTTGTTTGTCCTACAGCAGCCACCGTAGGAAGGATTACGCACTTGAATTTTGTAATTTATTATTATCAGGTTGTCCTAAAAGCTCCCCGAAAAGCCTTCATTCAATCCAAAATGTTGAAGTGAGAGTACTGACAGGAACTAGAAAGAGAGATCATATTTCCCCCATTTTGGCATTCTTCACTGTCTCACTGTTAAACCCAGAATCAAATTTAAAATCTTTCTCCTCAGATATAAGGTCTTGAAAAACCAAGCTCAGTCTTATTTTAAAGACCTCATAGTAGCATGTCGCCCAGACTGAG